CGAGCTCCGCCGGCTTCATGGTGGTGAGATTTCCTAGTTTTACAGTTCCGTCACCACCGCCTTCCATTAGACTACTCTGCTAATTTCACAAATTTCTTTCTTGTTTTCGCAGCAAAAAGTATTCTACCAAAACAGCGAGTTCCGGTAGATCCAAATCTCATGTAAACATAGTAGTATATATATATATATATATAAATAGTAATTAATTAAATCAATTATTGGAAGGTTCCATTAATGAGGTTGAGGAAGACTTGGACAAGTAGCGGAAGAAGTGAATAAAATTTACTGTATGGAAACTTGACAGTTAAGAAGAAGGAGAAGGAGAGGGTTGCGGGAGAAGTTCGAGGCAACAGTTTAATAAGTGAGAAAAAAGAAATTCAAAAAGTACAGAAGAGAGAGAGAGAAAAAGGACAGAGAGTCCCGAGGAGAGATCAGGTGAGAGCTGAGTTGAGGTTGAGCTGTTGGGGCCTGCCGCAGGTTTTTGTACAGCTCTGGATTTGCTGGCGGGGGCTATGCGTAGTCGTGTCCAGGAAAGAGAGGAGATGAAGCTGTAGTAGAACTGTTTTTCTATTTCACCTTTTTTTTTTCCCTTATTTCCTCCCTCTCTCTCTCTCTCTCTTGTTTGTTTGGTACAAAAGGAATAGAATTATCGGGTTGGGCAGTACAATTTATTTGAATACATTTGACGAGTGTCCAATAAGCACTTATTTATTGATCGATTGTTTGAGCGTTGAACTTTTTAAAAATGTAAAATTACATGCAAAAAGTGTATAAATATAAGATAGTTTAGTAATTATTAGTACATATATTCATATAATATATTAGAATGTGATTAAGGTACGTTAACGAGTATTTATTGTGTATTCGTTACAAAAAAAAAAAATTATTTTAGTTTTTTGATAAATGTTTTTGGTCGTTTACTTAGCCAGAGGTAGTGAGAAGAAGTCAAGAAGACTGGAAATGAATGAGCTGGGTCATGTCATCATTCATGATGCAAACAGGAAAATTCTTCGTGAGATTTTGATTAATAGAAAAAATTGTGGCCTTAGATATTGGCAGGCAAAGTAGTTAAAATATCTTGTCTCCATAATCTTGCGACCATACTATTCAAACTTTGCAAGTCGGTCTTGATTTTAGTGGGATCATCACATTTTATAGACCATTAAATTGAGCTACTATAATATTTTTATAAATTAATCGAATATTTTGATAACTTGGGGTTCAAATGTTGTAATGTTTTTCTTAGAGTATGTTATAAAACAACTTGATCAATTTAAAATATGTTACTCCCATCTGTGTTTGATAAAACTGAAATTAATTCCATGAATACTCTGAGCTTTGATACACACACACAAATATATAACAAAGTCTATATAAAATTATAACACTAATCGACATAGTGTGGGATTAATACAAAAACAATATATTAAAATACAAATTCACAACTCTATGATTTGAACAATCTTAGTATATATTAGCTCTTTGTGATGCATAAATAATTGCCAAGCAAATAATAACTTTGTGTTGTTGATGACACGATATAATTAATCAATTAATAACTTCGTGTTATTAATGATACGATATAGTTACAAAAACTTGATCACTTAATAATTACATTTAATTATCTATTCTCATTTTTTGTTAAGGAAAAAACATTTTAATTTAATCAGTGATATGTAATCAATCACTTTAAATTGTTGTGTGACTCCTATTTAGTCAATCCTGCCTAAATTGAATCTCATTAAAAAAAAAAAAAAGAAGCACAAACTTATGTCCCCAAGTGCAATTATTGACTTAAATTAAAAAAAAAAATCTATTTAACTAAGCAAAAAAATGTTTAGTCAGAACACCTGCCTAATTAATTACTAGTTGATTTGGTCTGAAGATTTGATTGAATTTAAAAAAAAAAGATCCAAAATACATCACACATTAAAAGAAAAGAAGATTATGCGGGTACTTCAAAATTCATATGCGGTCTTTGCTCGTGTGTATATATTAGTCGCAACGCCATGACAAGGGCATTGGGGAAGGAGACTTCTACTGGCGGTGAGACCAAGACTAACTAGGAGAAGCCGAGTGTTGCTGGGTGTTGAATGGTTTTCCACCGACGGACAAGAATTTAGTACAATTGTATTTTGTGCGATTTTATTCAATTACTGTATACATTAAAAGTTGAATATATATTAAATATTTTATTTGTATACGCTATTTTTATTAAATATTTTTTATATACAATTTTAAGATATTTATACATCGCAAAATTTTTATGTGTCCAAACAAGGAGTATAACGAGGACTTACGTAACAGAAAAGCGTTTGCCTTTTTGTTTTTTTGGCTCTAGCCTCTAGTTCATTGTATTGTATTAAAGGAATGGTGTTACAAATCATTGGACAACAGCTGCCTAAATACATAAAAGTTAGAGTTGATTAATCCAAGACATCCCCATCTAAAAAATTGATTAATAGTTTTTTTTTAAAAAAATCTTAGGTGTAGTTGGGTTTGTTTGATTAATACTCATTTAAAAAAACAACATGAATCGAGCATCATTAGAATGCCAAAAAAAAAGGGAATTTCGTTAATGTTTTAAGTTTTGAGCTTAGCAAGTAATCTAGCCCAATTTGATTTATCATAATTTGAACATGCTTGTCCAAAAAAAAAAAAAAATTTACAATCAAAACAATAGACAAGGGGAGAGTTGGGTTGAATAATAAGGTGGAAGGGATTGTAATTTTAAGTAGAAAGTTCTGAATTTAAAACATTTCATTAAAAAAAAAAAGATCAATAAATATTTTGGAAAAGTGTACTTGGCAAACGGGTCAATTATTTAGGGCTCCTCCTGGGTAGTTCGGTTGGTCACGGGAGCCTTCTTAGGACCCGTTGTCCATTCTCTCCCACCAGGGATCGAGTCCCAGTGATTATATCGGTTCGAGGGTACGGGGCGTCTCCTCTCGGGTCTCAGGGGGATTAGTCGGGTCCGACTTATCCGAAGCCTGGATACTCCCTGAGTAGAAAAAAAGAAAAAGAAAAAAAAATTTAGGACATTCCATAATTGTTGTGGGTCCTTCACTTTCATTATATCTAGATGATTGAATTGCCTTGAGAAATAGCCATAAGACTTTTTCAGTAATTTGTAATTCGTAGTCTAATCACATGACACATTGCCTCGAACATAAATATTATTGTTATGAATTAATTTTGGAAAAAAGAAATCATTGTATGAAAACTACATCAACAATTTATACGTGGACATCTTTATCGCCGATTAGCTGGAGCACCGCTCTCATACATTAGGCATACAGGCCATTCCAGACCGTTTACTTAAATTGTAGTCGACTTTATAAGAGTTACCACTTAAGTAAATAAAAAGAAAGAAATATAGGAAATGAGAAGAGTTCAAATGATTATCTATACTATATATAAAGCTTGAGGAAGGGGTTGGGGTTAATACTAGGATTAATATCTATCTTCAGTTTATGAACTTTCTTTTTTGTCTTGTAAAAACTATTTTTACTTTAAGTACCTATAATTATCCATGATTATTTTTACTTTTAAATATATGTTTTTAACATAACTACTCCTAAACATTACAACTACCAATATAAAATTATTTTATGAAAAATATTTAAAAGATTAAAGTTTGCTTCAATAATAAACATTTTATTTAAAATATATGACCATAAATATCATATATATATATTTTTTTTTTCGCAACGATAGATGTCCTATAACCTAATCTAGCCTAGTCTAAGGGGAAGGGGAGGGGATTCGATGTGAGTACAGACTCCATCGATGAAGGTCAATTAAGACCGCCACAAATTGTGGCAAATTTGTGGGAGGTAGGGATTGAACCCCTGACCTCCAGCATTACCTTTAATGGTGATGATCACTGGACCAAATGGCCAGTGGCGATACAGAGAGTTATTCAACCTTGGAATTTTTATATTGGATTTGATGCTTTATCACACGTGACCTCCATATGGTTTTAAAATTTATATAAAACCCCTTATAGTTTGGGTTAAAATGTCACCATTGATTTTTTGCATTTTCGTTAAAACTAACAGTCAATATTAAAAGTCAAAGTTAAACCAATAAATTGACAAATTCAACCTTTCACTATTTTTATTTTTATTTTTTCCTTCTCTCTCTTCCCCCTCTTTTGGAAGAGGAAAAACGATTTTGAAAACCTATATTTTTGTCTACAAAATCTTAATTGTCTCCAAATACAAAAAGATGGAAGGAAAATAAAAAATAAATAAATGAGAAACAAAAAAGATGAAAGGAAAATATAAAGCAAATAAATAAGAAACAAAAATACCAAATCTTTATTGACTACAAATATAATTATAAGTTTTTAAACCAAATCTTTAATTGTATTTTCCATTTCTTATTTATCTTTTTTTTATTTCAATTTCTTCTTTTTGTATTTGGGGGAAAAAAAGTAGTAAAAGGGTAAATATATCAATTTATTAGTTTGATTTTGACTTTTTACTATTAATTATTAAAATTATGAAAAAACTAACAGTTACACATTAATCCAAATCATAAAGCGGTTATATATAGATTTTAAACCATAGAGGGTTATGTGATAAAGTATCAAATTACAAGGGATAAAAAATAATTTATCCTTTTTTAGGTTTTTGTAATACATATCTCAGATTACCTCTAAAATTTTAGTCGTATATTTAGAATTTAAACTGTGACAACATGAAGTTTAACGTTCTACTATTACACGATTTACTTGATTAGGATCCTGGTTTTTTTTTTCTTCCCACCTGTTTGTCTTTTCGATTTCAGAGGCTTTCAATATTGTCTTGGTACATTGTGGAGTGTGGACTACAACTGGCCTTACAGCACAAAACGACTACTGGACATTGCAAATAACATTAGAGGATCAGTCTCCAATAATTTCCAGCTAACGTGAAATAGAATCCTCCCCGGAAAACTCATTGTTAGCTAGGTTGAAAACATGACATTCTTTAATCCACCATGCAACAAGAAGATGATTGAAATCTGGCAGGAGCAAAGCTGGCTTATAATTTATGACGACCATGTACAAAAACCTATATATTCTTTAATAACAAGGTTTTAGATCATGACAAATATCAGGCTCCAGATTTGTCTCAAATTCTTGAATGTCTGTGCATGATAGGAACCCTTAAATTTCTTGTTCCAAATTTTGTGAAGCATCTAGTAAGAAGCAATAATGCCCATCTACCCGCTCTTCTGTTTATCAATGATGCTTGTATACAGTCAAAAATCGAGCAATGCCTTTCCAGTAGACGTGCAACTGCATTCACAAATGCAACCACAAGAAGGCTGCCTGATACTAGGAAAAGAAAAAAGAAAGGTTCGGTGCCTATTTTACTAGGGCCTTGATTATCTTCCCCCGCTGATGAAGAGCAGTTTAGAGATGAAAGCATGCGTTTTTCCATTTGATCGATCGTTCCTGTCAATGTTATCTTTAGAATAGCCCCCGAAATATCATCAGCCAAAGGAGAACCCTTTTGGAAGACCTGAGACCACAAAAAAAAAACCACTATCGTTATGAGCCCAGATAAGATAAGTTAATATAGGAATAAGTATGTTAAAACACAACGAATTTGACCGGAATCTGGATCTTAATACTAATCTTACAAATCCAAAGCTACCAAGTTTGAATTTGGACCCTGCTTCGGTATAGCCTTTGCAATACTTCGCAAGGAAGACTTTGGCATGTGGGGCTGCCAAGAAAGCTGCTTTGATGGTTCCCCTCTGGAAAGCTTCAGGGTAATCGCTAATGGAGCCAATTCGCCTGACGTTTTCAGGCTTGAAATGCAAAACATTTGTTAAGAAACGACCGATGTAGGAATTGTTATTGCATCCAACAGGTGCATCTGTCCCTAATAGATAATCGATATCCACTATAGATGGTTCAATCTTTGGAACAGTCATCCATGAAGTAACAGCTGCAGTAAAACATGTCGTCACAACTACTGTCACAAACAACCATGTCGCTAGCACCAGCCGTGACAAATTGCTTCTGATAGATTCTCCTGTAAAGGGATAATTTGGCGTCAAAAATTTGTTACTATATATCCTTAGATTACAAGGTCCTCTTTCATTAAAAAGCCTTGTTTGATTGGTGTGTAATCAGTGAAACTTACTCTGAGCAAATGATAGAATGGTAACAGAAAACCAAAGCATGGCCCCGATGTTTTGAGGGAATGGACCTCTGAATTCTGGATTGTTATTTGCATGTTCATTTAACCAAATGACAGCACCAGTAAACACGCTCAAGGCTGCTAAGAGTATCCACATTTTCAATGCAAATGCTTTTAAAACCATAAGCCTTGTCTTTGTGACGTCTGGTTTTACAGTGACTACCATGACAACTCCAGTTTCCAGGTAGGGCTGTGTAAAATCGGCAATCTTGTAGCGGTCCACCACTATCCCGATATCACCCACCGCTGCATCTAAGTTCTTTATCATTGAAATCGATCATTATTAGTAACTTTTCCAGGGAAAATGATTATTGGGAATAGCAAGAATTAACATCGTTATTGATTGGATCTTTTTCTTTTATCTTCGTCTTCTATAATTGATGTATTTATGAATGATCTGCTTAAAACTATTGGCAAATGGTAAGGACCTCGAGAAACTAACAAGTAAATCAAACATTTAAAAGAGCATGCCACTTTTTTTCTTGAGATAGCTATACTCAAAATTATGGCATAGTAATTACTTATGTTCTACATTTTCATTATAAACTCCAATCTACCAATATAATTAGTAAAGTTGAACATATTTTTACTCCCTTTAGGAATACTAGAGTAATATATTTAATTCTGATCTTTAACATTCCTGAAATTTAATCCAGAAATTAACGATGAACAAACATGTTAGAATATATGGTACCTTGTTGTGAACTTCAGACACCAATTGGTCATACGATCCATAATGGGGGACTAAAACATGGGGCAGGTGGTAAGGTAGGTGGCTGACTGCAGCTTCAAATACTTGGATCGAAAACCCGGTAATAGCAGTTTCATTTCGGCTTTGCTCAAAAGTAACATTGACAAAATAATGAAAAGCACCATTGGCGGGGACTCCTATCCTCAAGGGTTTTCCACTCTCTCCCAATGTCCATCCCTTTGGGACTTTCAGCTCAGCACCTGGCCAGTAAATTTGACCCAAATCTTCCCGTAAGCCATTGCCAGAATTCGTTACCATGCCATCGTGTTCAATCGGGGCCTTTGAAAAGCCAAATTCCGGTGACCATAATGCTACTGGCCTATAGCTTTTTCCTATCACATTTACTACCTGATACACGGGATTTTGCAATAACGCACCATTCTTGAAGCTTATTTTTCCAGCAAGACCATCAAAATTACAGGACAAAATCGAATCCACTAAGCCACTGGAATTTACCTTTCCTTTCACATTTTGTAATGCCATGGCGACGGCCAATGTTGAATCATAAGCTCGAAGAGCGTATATGCTTGGACTGGAAAATTTTTCTTCTTCAGGATATTCTGATCTATACTTTCTTCTAAACCGTCGCTCGAATGCTTGGAACGAATGGCTAGTTTCAGAATAAGTTGTCTTTAATCCAATTATGCCTTGCATATACTCGAGTATAAAGGACGACTTAACAGAGTCAAGAAGGCTTGCAACATCATCTGAAACGATCCATACATAACCCCTGTCCAGCATGCCCAATTCTTTAGCCTTCTCGAAAAGAACCATAGCAAATTCCAAAGAGGACTGCAGCACTGTAAAGACTTTAACGCTCTTGCCCTTCAGCTTCCTTAACTGTTCTTCGATGAATTCTTTAGGGTTTGGCTCTGAACCCACCGGATGGAATGCCATGTGATGTTCGACAACAGACTCAATGGCTCGGAGCGAGTCGGAGAGGTGCGTGACAAGCCCAGTATCCGCAGAAAAGCTGTTGCTATGCTCGTAAATTGCTATCACCTTTCTCCACCGGAAATGGCCAACTATAGCCGCAATGCATTGCATCTGGATATTAATGTCGGTGCTCATCCCGATGAAAGGTAAAGATCGATCAGACGGTAACAGTGGAAGAGAGGTAGACATTTGAGCCGTGGAAATGATGGGGATGTGTTTGGGAACTTTGTCCAGTTCCCATAGCAGAGTGGCTTCTTGCAACGTAAGCGATCCGATAATGACACGCGCTTGTTTCTTGTTCACAACCTCTGTTACTGAGATACAATAAGGAAAAATGAACGACTATAAAACCAGCACACGCGCGCACATGTAAAGAAATGCGTTCTTCTACCCTATATGGTAGGTAAGGCACAGGATAAAAGGTGAAGTTAAGGTATATATTAGCTGTAAAGTTTAATTCTTATGTAAAAGTGTAAGGAAAATTGCCCACAATTTTTTGGGTGCTGTGTCCTCTCAGGGAAAAAAAAATTCTTTAAGAGTACATAAGTTTTGTGATTCATGTATAAATTATACTCCAATAAAGAACTAACATATCAAGACTCGAGACTCAAGACCATAAACGATAACCGCGAAACATTTTGACCTGCAAAAGTTTGCTCCACATAAACTGATAAACGGGCGACTCATGTGCCAGTTTTTCCCCACTTTAGCATCAATTTGTAAAAGAATAGTGTATTATGTAGTGATCAAAATGGTTGGCTATATTGGTTGGGGAAGCATATTACCAGCAGAAGCTGCTCGAGCTGAGTTCCCTTGTGAATCTTGAATATGCAAATCCACCTTTGAACAATGTGACTCCCGATTGAAGTCGTGGACTGCCATCTCCACGCCTATTTTTTGCTCCTTACCTACACGAGAACTCTGATCAACGACCACTCCTATGCTCCCAATTTCGTGGTGGTGGTTTATTGAGCAATACTGCACGTTTCGCCCTTGAGCACTTACTTCTGATTTGGCCATTAATGGAAAGATACCCAACAATGACAGAATGACAGGAAGATTCATTGTGCTATTAAAGAAGAAGAACAGACCTTCCCGACTGAAATGAAGGGCAAATGACGATCAAATGAGTTGGCCTTCTTGACTTATATATTCAAATACATTTAGCAATGAAAAATTCCTGATAATGACCCCTCTTAATTACTCCTTTGATGAGCTCTAAGGACTTTCTGGTAGCTCTGAATTCTGATGCAATTTCCGCTAGCTAACTTAACTACTGTTATTTCCTTTGCTAAACAAGGTCAAAACAACAGTTGGAGAGGCATGAAGAATTGGAAATTACCAAAATCGGGTCAAAGGCGCTAAAAGCTTTAGAGAAAAATTGGTACAGAGAAAAGTACTCTACGCGTCTTTTTCTGTTTTCCTTTTACCTAATCTATTCTTTGAAATAATTGTTGGACATACTGTGATATGGCTGTTATTAAATTAATGTCTGTACAACCCTTAATTACCACCCTTACTGTATATATATGCAAGTCCTGTTTCAGCCATGGCATTAATTAAACAATACATATCGTGGATAATGATAATGACGAGCATTTTCAGAAAGCAAAATGGCTCATTAGAATTTTGTAACCAGCAGCAGCTGCTTTTTTTTTTTTTTTTTTATGCAACGCCACATCTAGTTTTGTCTAATCTACTACTATTCCTACTTGGGAGGAAGGGGGAAACCTACTCTAAGAGGTGGCTCAACTGAGTCGGAGGGAACCTGATGGGGATTGAACCACTATCAGACCAGACGGAGGTTGAACCATCATCAGACCAGATGGATGCACCACACACTCGTGTGAATTTTTTAGAACAAATCTCATATAGAGTCATGTTGATGGGAGACAAAGTTTGAACCCTTGATCTTCCACCCCATGATTAATGTGGTGGCCAATTCCTCTATTAGGAGTTGGTTCAGCAGGAGCTGCTTGCGCTGAGCAGCGATATCGGTTATTTACTTGACATTCTGAATCTTGAATATGAGAAACCATCTTTGAACAACGAGGAGACTGACCACAGGCACCGAATACTCAGTCATGGACAACAGGCGGCCAACGATCAATTTACTTGGCATGAGTGATGTGGTTGATCATTTTTCTAAACCCTAAGCATGACAGAATCTATTATTGGCACGATTGAGCTGAACAGATTAAAAATAACTTTAAAAAGAGAGTACAACTGCTTTGATGATGACACCTCCTCCTTGAGCTCAATTAGGAAACTTCATGGAAATTTTGTAATGATTAAACAGATATTTCAAGTTTAAATGAAATGCTTGAAAAACTGATACAGATTAACCTAAGACTTAATTCAGCAGGAAAGAATATATCAGTCAAGTGATCATGAAATTTTTTGTTTAAATTTTTTTTCTTTCTCCCTTCTCTTGAGACTAAAAAAAATGCTTTCACAATTCAGAATCACAAATTACTTGAGTCTGCATTTGTGCTCTTGTTACATGATTATATATATAAAAGGGATTTTTTTTTGGGTAATAAAAATGCGGTAATTTAAATAGAGAAAAATAAATGAGTCTAACAGGACTTCTATTTCAACTAATTTGAGTCAAACCGTCGTTTATGTTTTGAATGCCAAAACTTAGGACTCGTTTCATAGGAATATAATACCATCCAAAGTAGTCATATCACATATGTAAACTCGATCCCCATCACCAAGTTCTGTGTGTTCAACCATATTCGCTAGACCAGTTCAAGCTTAACTTTCTCATTGGCAAAGATCAATCCAGAAGGCTCTACCTTTCCTGGAAGTAGGCTCAAAATGGAGAAGCAGGAATAAGTAACTAATTAAGGATGTTGTTAATTTTTTCTTTCAAGTAAGGGTGTTAATGTTATTGCAACTATAGATAGTGAAACTAATGCAGCAGCTCACCTTGTGACATCATTTATAGTGATTAAGTTTCATACTAATTACAATCAGATAAGATAACACATCTATCATTTATAAAGTAGTTCAAAGCACTAGTATCATGTTATTCATAAAAATGAAAATGGGTTACAATTTGAGGACAATCTACCCATCTCGTACAATCAATTTTTTCCCTTTTCATTAATACTATGTGTTCTTTTATTTTTCATATGTTATTGGGCTAAACTACATATGACCCCCTGTGGTCATGCATAACCACATGACCTACATGATAGTTCAAAATATCCACATAACTCCACTATAGTTTCATGTAAAGTGAAAATATGAGGGAAAATAACATCCGCAATGTCATTAGTTTAAATGTCGGTATTGCACTTACTTAAGTACTAAATTGAATAATGGCCTAACTACTTTGTATAAAACTATATGAAAATAATGTAGATATATGCAAAAATTATAAGGGAGTAATGTGAATATTTATGCAAATCATAGGAGAGCTAAGTAGATATTATGACTCCCTCGCATATATTTTTGGAGTGCGTTTGGTTCAATCACCTTATTCAGTGATGGTTTCCATCTATCATTCACTTTACATGAAATTATAGGGGCTATGTGGATATTTTAAAATTTTAAGGGAGTTATGTAGCAAAATGCAAAATTAGAGGGCATTATGTTTAATTTTTCCTTTTTAAAAGTACAAAATTGTTTAGTCGTCAAAATATTCCCTTCCTTTTAATTTGACGAGAATTTAGAATTTTTCTGACTTATTCTGAATAATATGCATGGAAGTTCTCTTCAAGAAAGTCATTTATAAGGTTAAAACCAACTTTGAAAATTCTTCTGCTTACTAGATTTTTTTTTTTCTGCTTAATAGAGTTGAGTTCTAGAGAATTATAAGAGGTGGTTCACATATTAGCAAGTGTTGATGTAGTCTAGAAAGTTCACATATCTTTTTTTTTTTTCTATATGGAATAGATTATAGACACTTAAGGAAAAAAAAAAAACGTCCTTCAAATGAGCATCCCTTTGATTTGGAGATATGTATACATTTCATTTAAGATATTTATTTTAAGGAGAATAGGAAGGTTTCAAATGCTTTAATTTTACGAAAAAAAAACTCTTAACTATTAGTTTATATCTTGTCAGTATTTTATCTTTTTATTTCTATCTAGCAATTTTCTTTTAAAGGTTGAGATTTTAAAAATTAGAGATTATGAGTTCAAATCCCCAATCCTTTTCTCGCTTTTTAATTTCCACCCCTTTCTTGTTTGAAACTAAAAAAAAAAAAATCTTATTTTGTGTTGTTTAGCATATAGCAAGAATGATTTCTTAACTAATAGAAAAAAAATTATATATATATATATAAGAAAAAACGCCAAGGCTATTTATTACCGGAAATGCACCTAGTACCCGAATTCATCCACAGAAAATAGACCACCCAATCAGAAAATCTCCCCTTTATCCGAACATATCCAGCCCGCAGCCTTCTACTACCCTTCTTCTATCTATCATTCACTTGACTAGTTCGGACCACCAATAAACAACAACTTCAATGGATGATCTTGAAGCTAAAGAATAGTAATTCATCCAATACCCAAAAATATTTTTAAAAAAAATTCTAAATGCTAATGGCTTCAATTTCTTCCCAAAAATTTATTAACACTTCCCCTCTTCATAGTAACTATCTCTTAAAAAAAAAAAAGGTCTATCTCATCCCACTTGCTTTTATCTCCTTCTTCGTTTTCTTTCCAATTATACCCTGCGGCCGTTAAAACAAATTGACCAATGCCATAGTAAACGGTAAGCACCGCTGCATTCTTTTCTTTTTGGCTGTTTCAATTTCCTAGGCTTTCACTGTCTTGGTACATTGTGGACTACAACTGGTCCTACAGCACAAAACGACCACTGGACCTTGCAACCTTCATTAAAGGATCACTGTCCAGCAATTTCCAGCGAACAATGACGTGAAGTAGAATTCTCCACGGAAAGCTCATTGTGAGGTTGAAAACATGACACCTTCAAATATTATGCAACAGCAAGATGAGTGACACGGGGCACGAGAAAAGCTGGCATATAATTTCTGATTACCATGTTCATAAAAGCTATCCTCTTTACTAACTAGGTTTGAGATCATAGCAAAAATCCTGCTCCTGATTTGTCTCGATCCCTTGAATGTCTGTGCATGTTAGGAACCCTTAAATTTCTTGTTCCAAATTTTGTGAAGAGCTTTTCTGTTTATCAATGATGCTTGTATACAGTCAAAAATCGAGCAATGCCTTTCCAGTAGACGTGCAACTGCATTCACAAATGCAACCACAAGAAGGCTGCCTGATACTAGGAACAGAAAAAGAAAAGGTTCGGTGCCTATTTTACTAGGGCCTTGATTATCTTCCCCGCTGATGAAGAGCAGTTTAGAGATGAAAGCGTGCTTTTTTCCATTTGATCGATCGTTTCTGTCAATGTTATCTTTGGAATAGCCCCTGAAATATCATCAGCCAAAAGAGAACCCTTTGGGAAGACCTGAGACCAGAAAAAAAAAAAAAACGAATACCGTGATGAGCCCAGCTAAGATAAGTTAATATAGGAATAAATATGTTAAAACACAATGAATTTGACTGGGATCTGGATCTTACTACTAATCTTACAAATCCAAAGCCACCAAGTTTGAATCTGGGCCCTCCTACGGAGTAGCCTTCGCAATACTTTGCAAGGAAGACTTTGGCATGTGGGGCTGCCAAGAAAGCTACTTTGATGTCTCCCCTCTGGAAAGCTTCAGGGTAATGGCTGATGGACCCAATTGGCCTGACATTTTCTGGCTTGAATTGCAAAACATTTGTCAAGAAACGACCGATGTAGGAATTGTTATTGCAGCCAACAGGTGCATCGGTCCCTAATAGATAATCGATTTCGACTATAGATGGTTCAATCTTTGGAACAGTCATCCATGAAGTAACAGCTGTACTAAAACATGTCGTCACAACCACCGTGACAAACAACCATGTTGCTAAGCACCAGCCATGACAGATTGCTTCTGATAGATTTTCCTGTAAAGGGATAATTTTGCGTCAAAAAATTGTTACTATATATCCTTAGATTAGAAAGTCTTCTTTCATTAAAAAGCCTTTTTTGATTGGAGTGTAATCAGTGAAACTTACTCTGAGCA